GCGGTGAACGGCGTCGGCGGACAGAGAGTGACGAGGCCGCTGTTGCGTCACCCTTCCGGCCACAGGTCCGTCAGCCTGATCTGGTGCGACGCCTCGGAGTTCAGCGTCGACGCGGAGGTCCTGGCGCGGCTGCCAGCGGAGTGCCGCGACGTCCGCATCCAGGACGGGACGGGATCGGGCAGTGAGGGAACGCACGTAGGAGACAAGCTAGGACACGTTTTCAGTTCAGATTTCTCCTCACCCTCTTCTACTGACTCCAGGGGGCCGACGTGCGGGGCTCGAGAGGCTCCCAGAGTAGGGGTTGGGGTAGGCAGCGGGCCGAACACCCCCGGGTCCGAAGTTCTCTCGGCTCAAGCTTCTCTTTCCGTTCCCTCGACCCTAGCACCGAGAGTCAGGTGCCGGGATGTCTTCGACGAAGGTCAAGCCGCGCAGGACGGTGCAGAAGGGCCGATCGCAGTCGGCGAGTCCAGGTCGGCGCTCGTCGAGCTTGCCGAACGCCCCGGCTCCGATGGCAGAGGAGAGCTGGGAGAAGCTGTCGGACGTGTCTCTGAACGACGTGCTGGCTGCCGAGGCGCTCTCCGAGGGGGAGATCGAGATGCTGAACGCCGGGGAGCTCAAGTTCGACCCGCCGGCGGCGCGGTGGAGGTCGCTCGGGCTCAGGATCTTGGGGTGCATCAAGGTCTGCGACGACATGAAGCTGGTGGCGGGCACTCTCCCGCTGGTGCTCCAGGGAGCGGGCGCGGAGGCGATCGACCCGAGCGTGTGCCCTCACCCTCCGTGGGCCCAGTGGTCGAGCGGAAACGCGACGAGCTGGTGCACGTTCTGCCGGATGTGCGACGTCCGTCTGATGCTATGCTCCAAGACCGACGAGGAGAAGGCTCGGGCCCAGGTGAAGAAGGCCGTGAAGGCGAAGGCGAAGGAGCTTCGGGAGGCCAACAAGGCGGTCACGGCCCAGGCGATCGCCAGCTACGAAAGGGACCTCCTCGAGGCTCACGCGGCCACGGGCGACCCGTGGACGCCGACCCCGCCTCTGAGGGCCCCGCCGAAGAAGACGCCCAAGGCGAGGAGCGCCGCGGCGGAGAACCTCAGCAAGGTTCCGGACAACCTCTACGTCTCGACGGAGGAGGGCTACATCCCCTACAAGACGCCGCCGCCGGACGCCGCGGTGAGCAAGAAGTACGCGCAGCAGGTGAGTGGCGCGGACGTTCGCCCGATGACGAACAGCGAGATGATGCGTGCTTTGTCGGACATGAAGGTCTGCCTGGAGACACAGCAGAGGGCGAACGAGCGCACGTGGGAGGGCGTGAGAGGCCTGCTCCAGGAGAACCGGGCGATGGCGGCAGCGGTGAGCAGCTCGGGCAGTTCGCCTCCTCGGATGTCGCCGGAGGATCTCCAGGAGCTCGCCCGGATGATGGCCTCCATCCAGAGCGGCGGTGCGCCGGCTCCAGCCTGAGAGCCTCTGAAGTTCCTGGACTACCTGAGACTCTGACCGGAGCATCTCAGGTGCGCGGTAGGTCGATTGCCCTAGGTGACGTGTTTCTTCGGGACATGGGGGTCTGGCACACCAGGATCGGCCTCAGCGCCAGCCTATCCGATTTCGATCCCGTGTTGGGGGTTTGGGACAGAGTCGATCGTAGGTTCTTGGGCTCTGAGGACCTTGAGGATCAGCTTGGGTGGGAGAAGTGCGAGCTTTCGGCTAGCGAGCGCAAGGCCTTTTTCGTTGCCTTGGCCATGGACGCGCGTGGGGGGGGAGCCCCCTCTACACTGTATCCTCGAGGGGCTCGTTGGATCGAAGTGCAGTCGATCTCTGGAGATTTGAAGTTGAGCGTTCCATGGCTAGGAGCGACAGCGCAAGAGCTGCAGCGCGCCCTGGCTGGGCGCGGGTCTGCAGGCCTGGCCAAGACTCTCGGAGCGCATCGAGAGCGGGAGCCAGGCCCCACGGTGCGAGTGTGGCGTGAAAAGAAAAGGGAGTCTGGGAAGGCCCCAGAGGCCAGGGACGCTAGGCAGGGCGAGGGCCTCGAGCTCAACTCTCGCTTCAACTGCGTGATCTTCGACCGCTTCGCGGCTGCCGCCTTAGATGGATCGGGGCCGGGCGACTGGGTCGGGGCCTCAGTACCTAGGAAAGTAAAGGAAGCTACGGCGCGGCTCTTAGAGGGCCAGGGGCTTAGGTCTAGCAAGAAGCTTAGACGGCGCCAGGCTCAGCTGGCCGAGGCAAAGAGGGCCGGGACCTTAGTCTTAGAGCTGTTCTCTCCCCCTCGGGTATCTAAGGAGCTTGAGCGACGAGGCTACAAGGTTTCGCGCGCCTTCGACCTGCTGACGGGTGTGGATCTTAGAACAAAGCAGGGTCAGGGCGCGTTGTGGGCCACTCTTGAAGCAGACGAGCCCCTCCTTGTTCTCATGAATCCTGAGTGCAGAGCTTTCAGTCAGGCCCGAGCGGCCTCCTGGAACACCATGGACCCCCACACTCGAGACGAGGTCGAGCAGAGGGGCCTTGAATATATCGACCTGTGCGTTCGGGTGGCGCTCTACCAGAGGAGCAAGGGGCGATATTTCTCGTTTGAGCATCCCGAGGGAGCGAGCTCGTGGGACTTGGAGCAAATCAAGGAGCTGTTGGCACTCGATGACGTCCATGCCGAGGTCACGGACCAGTGTGAGTTTGGTTTGTCTGTGGTTCCGGACGGAGGGCTGTCCCGCAAGCGGACCAGGTTGATGAGCAATGCGAGCTTGTTTGTTAGGAGGTGTAAGCGCAAGTGTGCCGGGGACCACCCTCACGTGCATTTGGAGGGAGGGCACAGGACCAAGCGGTCGCAGACCTACCTTGACGAGCTGGTGTCTACGATGGCGTCCGCGGCCGAGGACGTGGCGTGGTGTCATCACCACCTGAGCAGCTGGGCCGGCTGGAGTGACGAGCCGGTCGAGGCTCCCGATCGTTTTGAGCCCTACTTTGGTGGACCTCCGGTCAGGTCCTTTCCCGAGGACGGGTCCCCGGACGACGAGTCTGACGAAGACGTTCCGGAAACCTGGAAGGGCCCTCGAGGCCAACCGAGTGCGGCCCCGGGGACCGAGACCAACTCCGAGGCGACCCTGGATCCCGACTTGCAGCGAGAGGTTCACAAGCTCCATGTGAACTTGGGCCATCCGGCCCTGGCCGACTTTCTCCGGACCCTCAGGGTGGCCCGAGCGAAACCGGAGGTCCTCGATTGGACCAAGAACCATTTCAAGTGCGGGGCGTGTGACTCTCACTCCAGGGCTCACTGGCGTCGACACGCCCATCTTCCGTGCACGTATGAGTTTAACAAGCTCGTCGCGCTTGATCTCTTTTACCTAGAGGTGGAGGGGGCTAGCACACCAGTGTTGAACGTTATTTGTCACGGCACGAATTATCAGCAAGCGTGCCTGCTCCCTAATGACTCAGCTAAGGCCACGTGGAAGGGCTTCCTCCAGCTCTGGGTGAGGCCTTTCGGTCTGCCCGAGGTGCTGATGTCAGACGGGGGGGGGGGGAATTTGATCGCGAGTTCGCTCGCGGCTGCGAGCATCTTGGCATATTCCATCAAGTGGCCCCAGCTAACTCCCCTCACTACAACGGTCGCTGCGAGCGACACGGGGGAATTCTCAAGGACGTGGTTTCCAAGGCCTCCTTGGCCACGAGTCCGGGGTCCCGGGATGAGGTCGAGATCCTCCTCTGCGAGGCGGTCGCGGCCAAAAACAGCACGTATCATCGGGGAGGCTTTAGCCCGATCCAGATGGTCCTTGGTAGGGCTCCCAGGGTTCCACGATCTCTTTTGTCCGATGATGAGCTGGACTTGGTTGGCTGCGAAGATGTGCTCGGAGGCACCTCCCAGCGGGACTCGGCAGCAGCGGAGTTTGCCCGGAGGCACGTTCTCCGCCAAGAGGCTCGCAAGGCTATGGCGTCCTTGGACGCGAGGTCCAGGCTGTCTGAAGCTAGTCGTGCGAGGCTCCACGCCGAGCGATTTTTCAAGCCTGGAGAGTGGGTGTACGTGTGGAGGCGAGTGACGGGGTCGAACCGGTCTCACTCTTTGCAGCGGGACCGCTGGACGGGCCCAGGAGCGGTCGTGTACCAAAATCGGGGGACTGTGTGGGTCGCCATGAGGACGCGGCTCCTAAAGTGCTCCGAGGAGCAAGTGAGGTCGGCCACGCGCCAGGAATCCCTCGGCGCCGAGTTGCTGGATTCGGCTCGTTTCGATGCCCTGCGGGAAAAGATCCGGGCTCCTGGACGTAAGACGGGGGCCATAGATGTTGCTGCGGAGGGACCTCCTCCCCCCGAGGCCTGGGACGGTCCGGATGCTGGTGAGCGCGCGGCTCCCAGTCCCGAGACCAGAGTTTTGAGTCCAGCCGAAGCTACTGCCTCGGCTCCGGCTGCCGCTGCCTCTGTGCCTGTGCCTAGACCTTCTGAGGTGCGCGCGGAGGCGCCGAGCCGCGACGAGACTTTGGTTCCAGAGGCTTCGGAGCCGTCCATGGCGAGGGCCACGAGCGGTTCCGAGCTTGATCGATCGGAGCCGCCCTCTTCTGTGTCTAGAGGCCTGAGCAGGACCCTCGGTCCCGAGGAGGAGGACCGCTCGGTCCGAGCTCGTCTGACCCCAGTCGAAAACGTGGTGGGCCAACCGGCTCGTGTGGCGACGATGGTTCGAGAAATCGAGGCGGTGCGAGCTGCCGCAGGTTTGCCCCCGGGACCCTCGCCGGATCATCATCCATGTCACGTGTACGGGCGGGTCCCCAGACTGAGGTCAGTTTCAGTACCACGGGCTCGGCCCTCAGCCAGAGCCGAGCCGTTCCCAGCCGCGGGGCCATCTTCGGCCGCAGCTGCTGGACCCGCTCCTGCTTCTTCCAGTCCCTCCCCTCCTGAGAGAACTGAGGCGCACTCGGATCTTCCACCAGAGCTTCGTCAAGCGCTAGACGCGCCCGCTCCTTCCCCTGGGCCCCAGGATTTGGGAAGATATGTGACGAAGACCCCGGAGGGTTTCGAAGGGCTCGCGAGCGAGCCGGACGAAGTCCAGGACGAAATGCTGTTGGATGAGCTGCGCCAGTGGTGCGGCATGAGGGGTGCGCCCAACTATATGGCGCTGTTTGAGGACCCAGGGGCTTTCTCGGGAGCGGCCACGGTCTCGGGTTCAGGCAAGGTCTCCAATCCCCGCGGGGCCGAAGTTTCGCTGAAAGATCTGACGCCCGAGGAGAGGGCTCAGTTTGTTGAGTCCGACCTCGCTGAGTGGGAAGCGATTTTGGCTTCCGGAGCGGTCCGCGTTCTCACTCCAGACGAGGCCCGACTGGCTCGCAGGCGCCATCCGGACAGAGTGCTGTCGTCCAGGATGGTTCGCCGTTTTAAGCCGATGGAGGGGGTCGGGGCTCAGGCGAAGGCTAAATCGAGATGGTGCGTCCACGGTCATCAGGACCCGGACGGCGAACACCTTTCGGTGTACGCACCGACGCCTCAGACGGAAAGCATCCTCGTCACACTGCAGGTCATCGCCTCGATGAACTGGGTTTTACACGTTGCCGATGCGAAAAACGCCTTCTGCCAAAGTAACCGGCTAGAACGTCCCAACGGGGCCATTTATGTCGAACCCTGTGCCGGTCTTACCCTCCCCCCGGGTTCTCTTATCGAGCTGGTTGCTCCAGTATACGGACTCAACGACGCGCCATTGCTATGGCATCGCACGATCACGGATTTCTTGGTGTCTCTCGGTTTCGAGAAATCGTTGTTGGAGCCATGCCTGTGGCTGAAGCGGGCCAGGTTAGGAGGGCTGGAGGCCCTAGTGCTCATAGAAGTAGACGATCTTATAGTTTCTGGGGAGCCGAAAGCTTTGACTGCTCTGAAGGGTGCCCTCACGGATCGATTCAAGTTCGGGAAATGGAAAGAGCGTGAGGCCGACTATGCCGGGAGACACATCTCTCAGCTGTCGGATCGGATAGCGGTCGATCAAGAGAAATACATCAGAGAGCAGCTGTCTTTGATGTTCCTGGGGAAAGATCGTCGTGCTCAAGTGGACTCCCCGCTCTCGCGAGACGAGATCAGATCGTATCGCACCGTGGCCGCTCAGGTGCAGTGGCTGGCTCGGGAATCTCGTCCTGACGTGGCAGGCTCTGCGTCTTTGTTGGCGGCAGCGTTGCCCACCCCTTCTGTGGCAGATGCGCTAGCACTGATCAAGGTTGTGAAATTCTTAAAGGCGTCACCAGAACAAAGGTTGACTATTTGGAACCTCGACCCTGCTTCAGTGACTTTCGTCACGGCCAGCGATGCTGGCGGCCCCGGTAGTGCTCGTAGAGGGGGTGCCCAGGGAGCGCGGCTCATCATGGCCGCGGACTCTATCATAAGAGACAACAGGCGAGCTCGGGTGAGCGTGTTGGCCTGGCGATCCTTGAGGATCAAGCGTGCCGTGGCTTCCACGGTGGCGGCGGAGACTCTTGCCTTGTCAGGGGCCACCGGGGAGGCCCAATGGATCCAAGTCCTTTGGAGGGACGCGGTGTTTGGAGACGTTCCCCGTCCCTCGTGGTTCGAGGGCCAGCGACCATTTACGGTCATGCTGGCCAAGGATTGCTGTCTGGGGGAAGTTGCCTCGGGTCTCTCGGTCGTGGACGCGAAGTCGGTCTTCGACGTGCTCAGTCGTAACTCAGCCGGCTCGAGAGCCGATCGTAGGAACGCTGTGGAACTTGCCGTGATTCGGGACTCGCTCGCCTCGGTCGGTTCGCGAGTTAGGTGGGTCCCCCACGCCCGAATGCCATCGGACCCTCTCACCAAGGTCGACCCTGTCTCGGGCAATCATGCCCTGAAAGATTTGCTCTCGAAGGCCTCGCTCGTGCTCGTAGACGAGCACGGGCACTTAGACGAACGGTCGCTGAACGCGAGCCTGAAATCGAGATCGCGGGGCGCCAGCAAGAAGATGCTGGACGCCGAGGGGTTGAGAGCTCCGGGGCCCGACGGGCCCGTCTGGATCTCTCTGGCTAGAGACGAGGGTGTCTCTGCCTCCTTGTCTTGCGAGGGCGGAGGGGCCGTCCTCGGGAACTGTGCAGAGTTTTGTAGTTTTGACCGGTTAGGGTCTCTGACGACGACGACGGTGGCGGGGGCGACGTTGGCCGTGGCGGCGACGGCGCCGACGACGACGGCGTCCCTCGACCCGCAGACCCGCCCTCAGACCTTGGACATGCCCAAGGTGCGGGACTGTGTGCCCGGCAAGGCCGGGTCGGAGGAAGGAGGAGGAGGAGGAGACGGCTGGAGGAGAACGAAGGACCCTGGCGGTGAGAGCAGGTTTCAGCCCGCCAGAATTAGGCCCGCTGTCCCCCATCTCTAATTTGGGTCCCCCTCGTGGGTCTCTCGGGTCGCTCCCCTCTCCCGCTCCCCTCCGCTTCGGGCTTCACCGTCGCGAGCCTTTTTAGGCTTAGTGCACTTGCGTCCCCTCTCCCCGCGCTGCTATGGAAAACATCCTGTCTCCACCCTAGTCCTTCTGTGCGCCATGCCCGACGATGGGGCTGACATCAGAGGCGCGGCACACGGAATGCTGGCGGTTGACCTTTGAGATTCGAAGAGGCGCCCTTGCCTTCTGAGAAGGCCGCCCCCTCTCGCCTTTTCAGGTTGGACGGGAGGTGGGGCACGAAAATTGTAGCGTAGCTCTTCCCGCGCCCAGGCTCCTGCTCCTGGCGACGGGATGCGATCAAGAGCAGCTGCGTGCGGGCGGCAACGGGGGGGCAACCGGCGTAGGGGGATATCGAGGATTTCGGGAACGTGGCCCTGCGGTCGAGGGTTGCCAAAGGTGCCCCCCGGCCCGAGGTGCCCCCAGCTTTTCGCCTAGTTTTGGAGCCCCATGGGGCCCTCTGGGCCTCGTGCTGGGGGTGCTCTGGAGGCCGTGGTGGCCTCTCCAGCGACACCTGCTGCGGGGTCCCCGGAGGACCCTGGAGGTGCCACGGCGGGCCCAGCTGGGGCACAGAAGGCGGAAGGCACGCGCTGCTTCCCTTCCGTTTTATGCCCCCCGTGGGCGAACACCCGAGCGCAGCTGATTCGCACATTCCCCTTGTCTCGAACATGATAAATGGTAAATGTAAGTCGGGCATGTCCCTCCACAGGAGGAATACTCAAAACCAGAATAAAAAATGTGAGACATTTTTGTGCTTAAAATGTGTATTGCTTAGATGTTGGTATATGTTTTGTGTTGTCTTTTATGATTGTCTTCAGAAAATAAAGTACGTAGCACCCCGCAATTGCGGATAAGAGTGAGGGCCATGATGGTGGGAGAGCGCATCCATCGCGATATCCACCACCGCGACGCCTCGCGCACCAGTGCCCATGAAGGGCCCGAATGGTTGGTTGGAGTCAGCACAAGTGGTGATGCTGTGTGCAGGGTTGAGGACGAATGTATTGTCGGATCTGGTTCGGGCAGTTGCACGGTGGGTGTGAAGCAAGGTGCGGCGGTCCAATTGGGCAGCACCGATTCGGGGTATGATTCAGTCTTCACAGATGCAGGCAACGGAGAAGCGCAAAGCGACCATGGCGAGTATACCCCGCCAGTGCCGGCAATCACGATTGCGGGGCATTCGTCAGCGTCCCATTGGAATCTTTGTTGGACGGCCCCGACTACCGACCGTCGAGATTGGCGGGGAGCTTTGGGTAGCGTAGAACAATACTGTTACTATGTCAACGGCCTGTGTTTCCTATGGGCATCCCCGTGCTCTGGCGGCTGTTCCCAATTGAATGCCCATTCCTCATATTCGTCGTTCTGCCCTGGGTTGCGCTACGCCACGGCAACGGAGTGGTCAGCTGCGTTGCCCACTTTGAATGCCAACAAAGCGGCATTCTACGCAAAGTGCGCAGCTGGCCCACTTGATCCAAAATATAACCATTGTGACCAGTCCAATCCCCTTGTGCGGATCGAAGATGGCTCATACTATGAATTGGTCCTGGTGTGCGGCGCTTCTTCAACACCTGAACCGACGCCCTATCCGACGCCCTATCCGACGCCCTATCCGACGCCCTACCCGACGCCCTACCCGACGCCCTACCCGACGCCCTACCCGACGTCCTACCCTACGCCCTACCCGACGCCCTACCCGACGCCTTATCCTACGGCCTTCCCGACGCTCTTTCCGACGTCTTTCCCGACGCCCTACCCGACGCCTTACCCGACGCCTTATCCTACGGCCTTCCCGACGCTCTTTCCGACGTCTTTCCCGACGCCCTACCCGACGCCTTACCCGACGCCTTATCCTACGGCCTTCCCGACTGCCTTCCCGACGCCTTACCCGACTGCCTTCCCGACGTCTTACCCGACGTCGTTCCCGACTGGCTTTCCGACGCCCTATCCGACGTCTTTCCCGACGCCTTTTCCGACGCCCAGCCCGACGCCCAGCCCGACGTACCCTCCGGGTTGGCCGACGCCGCACCCGACGTTTCCTGCAGGAGTTCCCATGGCGGGCGGAGCCAGCGGAGGCGTGTCTGCCACTGGCGATCCTCACTTGCAGAACGTCTATGGCGAGCGCTTTGATTTGATGAAGTCGGGCAACCACGTCCTGATCAATATCCCTAAAGGGATGCGCGCTGAAAAAGCATTGCTCCGTGTGCAGGCCGATGCGCGCCGAATGGGTGGCTCTTGCGCGGACATGTATTTTGTCGAGATCAATGTTACGGGGTCTTGGGCAGAGGCAAAGCAAGCTGGAGGGTATCGTCACGGCGTGTCGAACCGTGCAGTGGAGGCTCCAGAATGGGTTGCTTTTGACAAGGTTGAGCTCAAAGTCGTTCAAGGACAGACACACAGTGGCATCAACTACTTGAACTTGTACGTGAAGCATTTGGGGCGCGCAGGGCTTGCAGTCGGGGGTCTGCTGGGGGAGGACGACCACAAAGACGTAATGATTGCTCCAGCGGGTTGTGCCGGCCGTGTAGAACTGGCGGTGGACGTGAAAAGCGCGGGCCCTTCCGCGTCGTCGGTTGCTGCAGCAGACTTCGCATGACAAGATACATTGGCGGAGTCGTGCATTTTCTGCGTTACAATCCAGATTTCGTTTGCTGCTGCGTCGGGTATTCTGTCATGCGAGTTACCTTAGGTCACGGGCAAAAGACATGGCTGCATGCAAAACCACAGGAACACATCAGCAACACCAAAGGAAAACAACAGCAAACAACGGCAAACCACACCAAGCAAATCCACGGCAAAATTACAGCAAACTCATGGAAACCCGCAGCGAACCGCAGCAAACCATAGCAAGCCACAGCAAAGTCATAGCAAAGACACAGCACAACCACAGAAAAACCACAGCGAACCACAGCCCGAGAGGCCCCAGTGGGACCACAGGTCCAGATTGGCAACCTCCGAAGGTTACCGACCCAACTTCCGGATTCCACCCGTAACTTGCTACACGCCACGTTAAACAATTAGTCTGGCGAGGGACCCAACCATATGCAGTTGTGGGTGGCACAGCTGTGAGTGTCGACTTCGGTGGCCCTCCTTGTGGGGCCACGAAGCGTGTGAGGGGCGTGCAATTTGACGCGCGGACGCATACGCATCAGGGCCGCGCCACGGGGATCTTCGATGAAGCTCCCTATTGGGTCACGAAGCGTGTGAGGGGTATGCCGAAATCGGTGGCGCGGACGCATGCGCGCTGCGCCGCGGGAACCTTGCGTGGAGCTCCTTATGGGGCCCTGGAACGTGTGTGGGGGGCGTGTGCCGAAATTGGTTGCGCGGGCACATGCGGGCTGCGCCGCCGAAACCTCCGATGGAGCTTTCTATGGGGCCACGAACCGTATGAGGGGTGTGCCCTCTGGATGTGTTCAGATGGACCGACTGGATGCTCATCAGACTGGCAGCGAAGTCCGCCGACTACTGCAAGGACGAGATGGCTTCTTTCAACCTGATCCTACAACTGCGGTCAACCCTGAGGGCTGGGGGGTCCATGGTTTCAAAGTGGCTGTTGAGTGTGTGTGTGTGTGTGTGTGTGTGTGTGATGTTTGTGTTTTTCCCGGAAAGGGCGCGGGCCCAGGGTTCTCTTTTAGCCGTTTACCCCCGGATCTGACGGGTCAAGCGCCGGCGAAATTATTTGCGATAAATAACGAGGTAAAGTGCTGATTTTTTTTAGAAAAAGTGCGTTTTGTGCGTGCCCGCTCGAGGAAAGTTCGCCCCCCATCTCGGATCCTCGATAAATAACGGGGTCCGCAGACCCCCGCTTTCCCTCGTAAAAAAGAGGGTGCGGAGCGTTTTTCGCAGAATCCTCGAAAAATAACGGGGTCTGGAGCCCCGACCGCGACTCGGAAAAGCGCCCCGCGCGCAGGAATTCCGAGGATGTCTCGCGCGTGCCGCGTCCCGCGCGCAGGAATTTCGAGGATGTCTCGACTAATTCGCTTGTTTTGTCAGGATTTCTTAGAACTTTGGCAGGATGTCTCGAGCGAAACGCTTATTTTACATAGTTTGTGGAGGATGTCTCGAGCGAAACGCTGGTTTCCGCAAAATTTGGAGATGTCTCGAGCGGGGGGCCAGAATTCAGAGGATGTCTCAGGCGAAATGCTTGTTTTCGTGTCCCGCTCGCGGGAATTCCAAGGATGTCTCGCGCGGGCCGCGTCCCGCGCGCAGGAATTTCGAGGATGTCTCGACTAATTCGTTTGTTTTGTCAGGATTTCTTAGAATTTTGACCGGATGTCTCGAGCGAAACGCTTGTTTTTCATAATTTGTTGAGGATGTCTCGAGCGAAACGCTGGTTTCTGCAAACTTGGGGATGTCTCGAGCGGGGGCCTCGTGGGGGGCCAGAATTCAGAGGATGTCTCAGGCGAAATGCTTGTTTTCACGTCCCGCTCGCAGGAATTCGGAAGATGTCTCGCGCGTGCCACGTCCCGCGCGCAGGAATTTTGAGGATGTCCCGTAGCGCGTCCCCTTGGCACGGCCTACGGTGCGACCCCATGGCACGTCCCTTGGCACGTCG